CTATTTGTATAATTATCATCAATATTTTATAACTAAAATTTTATATTGATTAATGAAATATTAAAAACACTACAATTAAAACATGAATACCAATTATTCTAAAAAAACAACAATTTAACAATTGTTTTTTTAATATAATAATTAATTACATAATAGAAGTATTATTTTATGTCTTTAATTAATGAGTGGTTGAGATTGAAGAACCTTTTTTTGTCAAAAACACATGTTTTTCTTTATTACATCAATTTTAACTTTTATGTTAACATATTTTCCCTTGTTATATCAATTCCTTTAAATTGATTGACTTTCTTATCATTTTATCGATTTTTTTATTTGATTAACCTGGATATCCAACCCGCTATGTAAGCCGACTAATCCTAGAACGATCACTTGCTTTGCAGATAGCCCGGAATCACCGTATTTGAACCTTCATGGCCACAGAGGAATTTTATTTCTCATTGGATTTGAACCTGAGACCTCCAGATACTTTTAACCTTTGGAGCCAAGCTCAAACCAAACCAGACACTGCCCTTATGATTTTTTTTATCGATTTTTTTTGTCCTTTATTCAATTGAAATCAATTTTTTTTTTATTTTGGCCTTTATGATTTTTAATTAGGTAAAAGACAAAAAATTGATAAAAAAAAGTTACTTTTGATAAACGGGAACCAAATTTGTAGTTCACTCTAAAAATAATAATAATAATAATAATAATAATAATAATAATAATAATAATAATAATAATAATAATAATAATAATAATAAACAATGTAAATAAAAAAATAAAAAATTAGACTCTTTTTTTTCTTGCAGTGAAATACATCGTGATTTAGTTGTTTTTGTGCTATCTTATTTTTGTTTATATTATTATTCGAAGCCAACTGTATATTGCACATGTGAGACATGCCTTTAAAGGTACGACCGTCTATGACACCACAAAAAAAGAGAGCATAAAGTCACGTTTTTCTAAATGAAACCATAAATATTAAAATTTTATACAAAAATTTATGAAATAAAAACTCCAAAAATATCAAAATATTATGGTATTTATTTTATATCACATAAATTTATTGATCAATACTTTATATTAAAAAAACGAGATATTTATTGAACCAGATATCCATTAGATTAATTGAATGGTTAAAATTGATTTATATTGTTTGTACTAATATAACAGTTTGTAAATGATCCACTCATAGGAGTGATTTATTTTACAAACCATGTAAATGTAACAAAACGTACAAATCTCATTCAACCAATTATTTTTTTAATCTTTTATTTTATTTTTTCTTAATTATGAAGGTTGATTAGCCAATAATGTATGAAACAATTTCATCAAAAATATATGAGGGTTGATTAATTAAGAATATATGACAAAAATTTCATCAAAATGAGACATACGTGAAACAATTTTATTTTCACATAAAACCAAAATTATATGAAACAATTTAATCAAAAAAAGAATTATATAAAACAATTTTATTATATTAAACACTTTCATGAAACATTTTTATTCAATTAAACAATGAACCACTTGTTTTTTACGGTTTGTTAGATTTTTAAAATAACTTTGGTGCATATATATATAGGGGGAAGATCAAATGTTTACCAACAATTTTGTGTTAACTTTGCAAACCATATCAACTAATCAAATTTCATTCTTCTAGTAGGTTTATGTCATATTCACAATCAATATCAACCAATCAAACCTTTTCACCTTTCTCATTTCGTGTTCATACCTGTTTTTTTATATATTTCCTTTCGTATAGTAGTTATTCTTATTATGTTCATAAATGTTATGCAGTCCAAGTTCATATATATGTCAAATTTTTGTCCGTATTTGACACAATGATTCATATATATATATATATATA